GCAGCAGTAGTAAGCTCCGCGGGCAAGGCAGTGGCCAAGCCTCCTGATGAGCTTGGTGCCCGCACTCACTGATTCAATTAGGCTAGATCCTCCACCCACCAGCCTCCTTGGTACAACTGGGTATGGTTGCATGTGCCCAGAACGACTGAATACTTACATCCATGCGGGTCATCCCATTCACTCCCACACCACAGCTAGTTCGATTGGCGCGTGAATTGCGCAGGCGCGAGTGCCGACAAGCTGTTGCGACCGCACGTAACGCATTGCGCAATGCTTCTGTGCTGTGCTGGCTGTGCCACTCCAGCCACTCGAAAGCTTCCAGGGCCGTGCGCTGGCATGTGAACCCGCTTACAAACAGAACAACCAAACATCACGATTGATCAAGCCTCTAGTTTCAAGCTCGTCCGTTATGTTCTTTGGCCGCTGCTGTTCGGAGGCCGCGGGGATCCATGGGTCCAGCGCAGCGTGCCGCAGCAAGTAACCAGAAATCAGCGCAGAACAAAACAAGGAATCGAGATAGTTTGCGACACGAACTTCAGTGGAGTTCATAGTTAGCCCTTGTCTCTATGGTGATGGTGATTGCGATGGTGGCGGTAGTGGTGACGGTGACGGCGATGGCGACGGCGGTGATGGTGATGGTGATGGTGATGGTGATGGTGATGATGATGATGATGACGATGACGATGACGATGATGCTGATGCTGATGCTGATGCTGATGCTGATGCTAATGATGATGATGATGATGATGATGCTGCTGCTATGATGATGATGATGATGATGATGATGATGATGATGATGATGATGGATGGCATCGACGGACGACGCCAGTCGACGGAGACCAGACGACAACGGACGACGGACGACGGACGACGAGAACGACGACGAAGACGAGGACGAGGACGACGACGAGGACGACGACGACCCTCGGCCGTGCCGTGCCCCCGTCGTGGACTACGGCGTCGGGGACTTGACGGACGGAAGGGGCCGTCCGCGCGCGGCTTCCGCCGCCTCCTCCTCCTCCTCCTCCTCCTCCTCCTCCTCCTCTGCCTCCTCCTCCCCCTCCTCTGCCTCCTCCTCCTCCTCCTCATTCTTTCGCTTGTCTCCTCCCTCCTCCTCCTCCTCCTCCTTCTGCTGCTGCTGCTCCTCCTCCCCCCCCTAAGGCGCCATCGGTGTTCAAAAAGAGGGCGCCCAGGGCATGGGGAGTACCAGTCCCAATCCTCGCGCCACGATGCATGTTCGCATGTTCTCGGTCGTCGTCGTCGCTGCTGTCGCGGAGGACGAGTGCCGTCGGCTCGGCGGGGCTCGGCGCGGCGCCTCCACCCGCGCAGCTGGCCCCAGGGGGTGCGTGCGCTGGGTGCCCAGGGCCTCTCCGCGCCAGGGAGTCTCCACGAGACGCCCCCAAGTGGCCCCCAAGAGGCCCTCCCAGAGACTCAGGCACGGTGGCGAGATGGGCCGCAGGCCACTGGATCTGATGCGGATCGCACCACGTCCCCGATGAACTCGCGATGCAGGGCTGGAACGAGTGGGGCTCCAAAGGCGCACTGGATCGCGGAGGAATCGTAAATCGTCGAGACGGTGGGACCTCGAACCCCAAGCACTGTTCCCAACCTCTTCCGCGTCCCTCCTGCTGCGTCTCTTGCTCCTGCTCCTCCTTCTCCCTCCGCCCATTTCCTTGTTCCATGCACCCTCCTCCCGATCCCCCTCCGTCCCCTCATCCTCGCCTGACTCGCCCCGCTCTTCTCAGGCTGCGTAGAGCTGGGCTGCACTCCGATACACACATATATATACATATATATATATATAACGGTGCCTACCTACCTACCTACCTACCTACCTACCTACCTACCTACAGACAGACAAACAGGCAGGCAGGCAGGCAGGCAGGCAGAAAGGCAGAAAGGCAGACAGGCAGACAGACAGACAGACAGACAGACAGACAGGCAGCGAGACAGACGTGTGTGTGTACATATGTATGTATACGCACACGCATGTTTTTGTGGCGCCAAGCGAAACTGTGATGCTAGGCTACCCCGCTAATGGTGCATGATGGCACAGACAAGAGAAACCAACTTCCTCCTGAGCGTGCTTCACTCTGCTGGCCGCGCGAGACTGGCTAACCGCAGGTCCAAAGGAATCCCTTGCTGCGCTGCTTGACCAACGCCGCAACGAATGGCCATCGCCAATTCTGCAGGTAAACGCCAAGACTGTCGTCTTAGCGCAACGGCCCAAAACGATCCCAAGAAGAGCCTCAAAACGACCCAAGCAAGCCCAAAGTTGCCCACGACTGTCCAAGAGACCCCCTCCAAGAGCCCTCCCTAAGATCCCCACAATTCCCCCAGTACGTCCCGAAAGGCCCCCAAGAGGCCCACAGAAGTCATCAAGAGGTCCTCACGAGGGCCCCAAAACGACCTAGCACGGCGTCTTTAAAGCACGGATGTGGGCCTCCCAGATGAACGCGCGGAGCCGAGACGCTTCTACGACAACGCACCCCACCAGAAGAGAGGCACCCAGGGCTCTCAAGGGATCGGCGGCGCGGCGCAATCCAGCGAATCCATGAGAGTGACGTAAGTCAGCGCCAAAACTTGGCGGCGCGCACAAGAGGGTGGAGGGAAGGGGGACAGCTTCTTAGGGGGCTGGTTCTCAAAGGCGCCGCCTTCCATCTATAGAGAAGGCCAGCGCCTTCTAAGAAGCAGGGGTGCTTCTAAGAAGCCTCCCCCTCCCCTCTCCCCCGCCCGCTCCCCCCCTTTGCGCGTGGATGACAGACTGCCTTCTCAACGCAGCAGTCGCCCCTCCTGTCTTGCTACCATGCAAGGGCACGCGCTCCCGGGCATGGTATACACCGCAGGCTCGCCACCGCCAAGCAGGCGGAGGGTCAGCCGCAGTCCTCCTCCTCCTCTTCCTCCTCCACCTCCCCCTCCCAGGGCCCCTCCCGCTCCCCCTCCTCCTCCTCCTCCTCCTCCTCCTCCTCCTCCTCCTCCTCCTCCTCCTCTCCTCCTCCTCTCTCCTCCTCCTCTCCTCCCTCCTCCTCCTCCTCCTCCTCCTCCTCCTCCCCCTCCTCCTCCTCCTCCTCCTCCTCTTCCTCCTCCTCCTCCTCCTCCTCCTCCTCCTACTCCTCCTCCTAGCTCGTCCCCCTTTCTTCTCCTACTATCCGCCTCCTCATCCTCTTCCTCCTCCTCCTCCTCCTCCTCCATCATTTCCCTTATAAGAAAACCTTGTCCCTGTCGCGCCCTGAAGTCAATTTTTAGGGCGTGCCGGGCGTTTCGCCTGAGACTGCCTCACCATTCGTGACCATGAAGCTTAAACGCTGGCAACAATTTTACAGATGGAGGGCGGCCCGTTTTCAAAATGTAGCTCTCGTCTTAGCGCCGCGCACATCCGTGTTCAAAAACACAAGACGTCCCGGATTCAGGGCGGCTCCTTTTCAAAATGTGGCTCTCGCCTTCGCGACGCGCGCATTCGTTCTGAACAGTTGCAAGAGTTTCACGGATTCCCATGATCAGCGTACCAGAAATGGTGCTTTGGAAGGATTCAGGATTATGAGGGTGCAGCAGTTACGTTGATTCGCTGTGTTGAAATCTCAGGAATGCCGTTCTGGCACGATTCAGGATCGTCAAGACGCCGTCAGGTTGATTCGTGGCAATGGAATCCCGAAGACATTGTTCTGGCATGCTTCAGGGTCTTCAAATGGTTGTCTTCCAACGTGGCAACTCCCTCACTGGGAATGAACCGCTGTAGGGAACTATGACGAGGGATTGGAGGGGAACATTAATCTAACACCGTTGGGTTTACACTTGTCCTCCTCCTCCTCCTCCTCTTCCTCCTCCTCCTCCTCCTCCTCCTGGTCCTCCTCCTCCTCCTCCTCCTCCTCCTCCTCCTCCTCCTCCTCCTCCCTCCTCCTCCTCCTCCTCCCCCTCCCCCTCCCCCTCCCCCTCCTCCCCCTCCCCCTCCCCCTCCCCCTCCCTCCCCCTGCTCGTCACTCCTCCTCCTCCTCCGCTCCTCCTCCTCTTCTCCTCCTCCCCCTCCCCCCCCTGCTCGTCACTCCTCCTCCTCCTCCTCCTCCTCCTCCTCCTCCTCCTCCTCCTCCTCCTCCTCCTGGTCCTCCTCCTCCTCCTCCTTTCTCGCTCTCACTTTCTCTCTCGCTCTCTGTGACAGCAGGCCAGGCAGCTGACGTGCATCTCTCTTTAGGTATGGAGCTGCTGACGCACCGCTACAGGCGCTCGAACCCTGCGCGTGGGCGTCCCCTCTTCGGGGCGACGCAAGTTGGCGGCGGCCGGGGGATCTGAGCCAGTTGGGCCCCGAGAAACTCCATCAAGAGGGGGGAATAACGGCAGAATGCGCTCATAATCGGTTTCCAGAGCCCTCCTGGGGTCCATGATCCGTTTTGGGCCCCGGGGCCCGAGAACGGCCCTGAAAGGCAGAACAAAACAGCCTCCTCGAACACACAACCTTGGACCTCGCCCCCCTTTTCCTGAGCAGCGCTATTAGCCGATCCCTATCCCCACTGGCGTGAAATGACCCCCACTGGCCGATGTTCCCCGCTACTATATGCGGATATAGGCTGTTCCATTCGAGTTTTGAGGGGCATATCCCAACTGGGGTGGTGGGATGGTGGGGATCGGGATGGGGATGATGGGGGTGGGGGTAAAGATCGGTAAACGATACTGATTTCCTGCTCACCGGAACCAGTGCTGGGCCGCCTCAGACAACCAGCTGGCTCCAGGACGCAACCATCATTCCCATGGCTGCTGCCCTTCCTGGGCCAGACGGCTGCCGCCGGCGCCTCCTCGCGGGCGGGTGGTGTCGCCAGCTGGGCTGCCGGCGCCGAGGTGCCCACTGTGGTGCCAGCGCCTGCTCGTCGGCGAGCGCCTAACCCTACTCCGACTGGAAGGCGCACCCCTTGTGCGCAGGCAGCGCAGGGTCGCTGGCCCTGCCACGGATGAACGGGAAGATCGACGACCCCCAGAACGTGCAATTGGCGCCAACGAGTGCCCGTCCTTGCTCACGGAGGCCCTTCAACACGGCGCAGGCGGTGCAATGAGGGCCGCAACGGGCGGCGTGCGGACGGCGGAGCCGAGCGGGGCAGACACACACACACACACACACACACACACACACACACACACACACACACACACCGGGCTCTCACACAGGCCCTGAGGATCATCGAGAAGAGCGCGGCACGGCCCGCGTCGAATCCGGAGCCCGGGAAGAGGTAGAGAGTCGCGAACTCCAGCAGCACACTCTCGCCGCCGCCGAAGCTCACGACTCCCTGCGCGGCCGGCGCATGGCCCGCCCCCCGCAGGTGCTGGTATATCGCGTTGCCCTTCGCGGCGATCTCAAAGCTGCACTTCTCGAAGAACTGCTGCTCGGCCCGGCTCTCCACGGTCTCGATGGCCCGGTAGAGCTCGCACCCAGGCGCGGTGCCCTTGAGCCCGCGGAGCCACTCGGGCCCGTCGGGCTCGGCCGCCTGCAGCAGCTTCACGGCGCCTCTGCAGTCAAACCTCTGCCCCTGCAGCTTCTCCCGGCAGTCCGCCCCGAACAGCTTATCCATGCCCTCAGCGATGGAAGCCTCTGGCAGCCATGAGACTGTCACCTGGAGCCCCTGGTCGGCCCACTCGCGGGCCTTCGCCTGATGCTTGTCTCGTTCTTCGGGGGTGGGCGAGCTCCCCTTGACGTTCTTCACCCAGACGAGCCCCGGCACCGCCTTCCCAGCGCGTGCCTGCCTGTCCACGTAAGCCTTGACGTAGCGCTGGAAGCCATCTTTCCAAGGATCGCCGTCGACCACCAGAAAGTCGGGGCGGAACCGCGAGATGGCCACCACGGCGACCTCATCCTGCCGCTGCTGCACGTCGCTCCGTCCCTCCGGGGGACCCCCGAAGCCCGCGCCGAACCCCTTGACGTGGAGCACGCGCTTCCCGGCGAGCAGCCCCTGCACCTCCTCCGGCGTCTCCAAGACGCGGAGACTCCCCGCGTCGGCTGGCCCCTCAGGGAGGCGGCGCCTCGCAACGGCATTCCAGATGGCACTGCAGACGGTGCGCAGGCAATACACGTGAACACAGAAATCAATATACCCCCCCAGCGTTTTAAAGATCATCTGAGGGCCGGGTGCGTGCGCCTCGAAGCCAACGGAGCTGCCTGACCCAGAGCGGCTGCTGCAGAGGACTGGGTCGCCCCCTCACGGTGGGGAGGGCCGATCAGCCGCGGGGCGCGGAATACCACGGGCCCGGCACCCTTTTGGGATGACAGCGGGGGCTCGTAAGCGGATACAGTCATCGTGCCACCACACAGAGCGCATAAAAAGAAAGGAGGAGCTTTTCTGGTCACGGCGGGCCTGGGCCACAGACAGGTTCCACACATAAATCTAGGGAACGGCCCGAGAACCTCAGCCACTCCTCAGGCCAAACCGGTTCCTATTTCACTGCTTGGCTGACACCTCCAAGGACCCGAGAGGGCCTCGGAGGCCCTCCAGATCCACCCAATACGTCCCAAGATCTACCAAGGTGCCCCCAAGAGCTCTCAAGAGGCTCCCACGTCGGCCTGAGGGGGCCTCCACGGGTGTCCAAGAGGGGCCCCAGAGAGGGGGGCACAAACAACGATTTCGAACCCTCTGCCCCGAGACGCCCATGACTGCTCACGCAACATTTCACGGAAACCACTGCCCCCATCAGGGCCACAGTGGCGACGAACACGCAGGCAAATGCCCAAGATGGAATAGTCTGGGCCAGCGGAATGAGCGAACCAATTCAATCTGATGACTACTCGTCCTCCTCCCTGACGGCGGTCAAGTGAGAGAAACAGATCCCGGTGCAGAAACTCACATGACATGTCTTTGCAGGCCAAGCTGGCCAAGGCACGGATATGGATACGCTACATGTCAAATGCATCGCATACTGCCTGTGGTCCGTGTGTGTGTGTGTTCCTACCTTCCCTAGCTGAGGTGGTTTATATCGAAGCCATGGACATAGGTACGCTTCGCCTCTACGACGAAGGCTGTCAAAAACGACAATGCCGAGCTCATCCCGAGCATCGGAACATCGGACCTGCAGCCGTCGCCAGCTTGGGCGTCGCAGGCGGGCGCCGCAGCGCCATGCATGTGAAACGCGTGAGACAACCACAGGTAAACGTGTAGGACAATGGAAGATAATCAACAAATCGGCATGATAAGTCACACAGGTAGCACAATATGAATCAACAGAAAAACGTGATCATGCACAATTGCATCCATCCGAGCGACGTCATAGAATTCTCCTGCGCGGTCTCAATAAACATCAGCAGCGGCGGAGGTGGTGGTAACGGCAGCACCCCCCGAACGCCTTGGGAGTAACCTTCTGCACGCCGCCACCCGCGCCGACGCGCAGCATGGCACCGAAGGCAGGGTGGAGGACTGGGGCAATGCAGGCTCGAACCTCAGAGGGGTCACCGTACCTGGAGGGCAACGCCCGCTGGTGAGCTTTGCGATAACGCCCGTTACCGTCCCCGCCCCCCCCTCTCCCTGGTCCCCGTCCCCTGGTAACGTACATCACGATTCGCGCTGGCGCCGTCTGGGAACTAGCCGCTCCTAAGCATTTCCAGACAGCGCCGGCGCGAATCATCACGTAAACGGCCCTTCCGCCCCCAGTCACGCCCATTATCGCCCGGAGATGTGAACCAATTGTCTCCTGGCCGAGCGGGCCCCTCAAAAGTTAGTTGCGCGATAACCGACCCCGAACCCAATGAGATGACTCTTTTGTGGACCACAAGTCGATAACTCTCTGCTGCTATGCTGGGAAATCTGGGCAACGTCTACATCGCAGAGCGGTGGGGCTGGAGAGGGGAATGCCGCTCCTTGAACGCCGTGCCACGATCTGCGGCCGTCGCGATCGCCGCGGCGACCTCCGCGTCGCTGCTCCTGGGGTGTCCTTGTTTTGTCGTTGGAAGTTGGACCGCGCACGTTTGAAAACTGCTCTTTAGCCCCCAGGATGAGGGCGTTGCGCAAGTTACCGACGGGGAAAAGAATGCCTAGCAAGTTTTCTATACAGCGCTAATAGATAAAACAAATTCATGTTCACCGCATCGCTATTATAAAAAGCTAGTTTTTAACGCATCGCTATGATTGATTCGACACTGTTTCGTTGGCCTGGTACACACTTTCGTGTCCTGACATTCAAACGTCCCTCCGTCTCTGATCACCCGGCGCTACAGTCGCATGGGGCCATTTGCGTGCTTGTTTTCCGTAGCCATATTGGACCTAATGAGGGATGGTTCGATCTCGCTGTCATACCTAGAAATACCTAGAACGGAAAACAACTGTTGTCGCAGTGACAACTTTCAACAAAGACGGTCACGCACCGTTCGAACACGTCTTGAAATTCATGAGGTCTTTCGGTTCCGACATGGACGCGCGGTTTGCGTTGGCCAGGGGTGGTACATACATATCAATGAATAATGAGGCGCGCGCTTTCTTCAACGGCGCGGCTCATTCACTTGATGTTATACCAGCGCTCATTCATTATGTGTTGGGCTTGCCAGAGAAGAGTATGCAATGGGCACCGGTGGGCTCCATGGTTCGCGAGCAACCAGTGCGACAGCCCGTCGCGAGGATCGACCTCGCGCCAACCTCGGCTCCATCTGCGTTCGCGCTTGTTCCTTTGCAGCAGGCGGACTGTCATAACTTCTCATATATGAGCAAAGACGATTTGTTAAAGTTCGTTCGCAAGCAGCAACACGAGACTAGCAAACTGCAAGCACGGATCGCCGAACTTCGAACAACGGCAGCTGCGAAGAGGAAAGCGAAAGACAGAGCGACTGACAAGCTGGCCAAGACAAAAAGGATATTCAAGGAGTGCGAGAACACGTACACATTCAAGACAACATATGAGAGATACCTGAGGGACCGAGGTGGTTTGTCGTTGGCCATTCGCCGAACTGCCAGCGGATGTTCGGCGTCAGGTCTTGGGCTTGGGCCTTGACGCGACTCACCAACCCATCTGTTCGAGAGAAATAATGACGAATGCCATTTTGATTGCCACTCGGAACTTGCATGCGCACTGCAGTCAGAGACTGGCATTAGACCGCGCAGCCCCAGATTAATGAAGGATGTCTTGTCTTTATCTCAGAGGTGATGCCACGAATGCGAGTGTGTGGCAAGAACATAAGCTCAGGGCGAGTGAAACCGACGCGACGTAGATCACTGACGGGTACAAGGGCGATGCCGACTAGAGTATCGCGCACCAGCCGATGCTCTGGCGTCGGCTGGTGCGCGATACTCCAGCGGAGCGCCCCGCTACGAGGACGCCGGGTCTGCATCAGCATTTCGCAGAAGATCATGGGAGCTCTGGCAAGACCGACGCTCCTCCTACTTCGGTTATCGACGTGGCTATCGTACTTCAGGCTTTCCACCAGGCGGCTGCCACCACCTTCGACGGCAAGCTTACGAGGTTCATTACGAAGGCGCGCACGTGCATGAGCCAGGACGGATCCCCCCCAGTATCCGACCTCACGGGGGGCATCTGCGAATCGGAGGAAGACGCGTGGCACCTTGGGTCCTTGCGCAGCCACTACGCCGTGGGGATTCTCAACTCGATTGGGGCGTCGGGCTTGGACGGGCACGCTGGCTCGGCAGCGCGCGCCCTCGTTCATTCGATCGTTGACGTTGCCAGCGCGGACAATGCGACTGATGCAGCATCATGGGTGGCCACGTGGCGCGCGAAGATAAAGGCGGCTGGGCAAGGCACTTTGGACGAGTACTTTTCGCTGGGTGATACTCCTGATGCGCCGGCAGAAGAAATCAAAGCGACGGCCGCATCCACTGGAGGTGTTGAGGAGGAGGCTACTACTGTGGCTACTGGCGCCGTGATCATATCTACGATCCAGTCTCTCTGGGAGGGCGCTGCGTCGCCCATGATCAAGGTCTTCATGCTCAATCTCGAGGCGCTATTCTGAAACAAGTGCATGGTGCAAACCAACTCCACTGATTCTGACATTACGCTGGGGTCTGGGTGGTGCGACCTCGCGCTCAAAGATGCGGAGGCGGACGATGTCGCGCAGGGAATCATGGCGTTCAAGTCCCTCCTGATCGGAACTGTTACCAGGATGCCTCTGCCGCACAGCTTCCATGTAACGACGGCGTTCGGCATCGATATCTACGTCGCCAACCAAGGCACCTCCATCCGCCCGTCGGCAGGCGATTCCTTCGTACCAGCTTGGTCCATCCCACCTGCGACCGTGAAGGAGCGGACGGAATACGTAACGAAGGCGATATCGTCGTTCCTCCTCCGTCTGCTCCTGAGCGGAAGATCAGCGGGTGGGTGGATGATGGGGGTGAGGAGGATGAGGGGGGAGGAGGGGGAATGTGAGGAGGACGAGGGAACATATCGCCTCAATGAAACAGGATAAGGAGGGGGGTCAAGGGAGTTGTAGGATGAGGAGGAGAAAGAAGAGGAAGAGAGGATAAGGCGTCGAGGGCATCCCTGCCTCAGCGGGCCAGGAGCGAGAGGGAGAGGGCGCTCAGGAGGAACGATGGCGATCGCCATTTCCACAACTAAATTCTGAAACCAAGTATTTCCCATAACCACGTTCCAAAACCATTTGGGGCATTATGTTCGGAAGCCCTCGGGAGGCACGCGTTCGAAAAGCTTCGGGGGAAACGCTTCGGGGGGACCGCGTCCGAAAACCATCGACGTTCGGTAACCTCAGGCCGAACACGTCGAACACATAACGATCGAACACCCAGGGGAGGAATGGTGTAGGCGTTTCCAACAGGAAGCCGCGAAGGCGCTTAAGGGGGTGCGGACAGCAGCCGTGCCTGAGGATGCAGTGCTGGCGGCGAGCACGAAAACCATCCCACTCGAGTTTACGAACACTTCGTCAACACACCTGCGGGACTGCGACAATTGGCTTCTACAACTTCGTGAAGCACTTCGTTCAACACACTTCGTTGAAAACTTCGTTGAGAACACTTCGTCAAACACTTGGCTTCTACACTTTGGTTTTGCATTCGAAGTTCCTGGGGTCCGACAAGGTCACCCATCACCCGTGAGCCCTTCGCCGCAGCAGTGCAGCCCGCGCCCAAAGCGAAAGGGCAAAAGGCAAGGACGGCACGACTGGCGGCAAGGGCCGGGGGCAAGAGCAGCAGTAGTAAGCTCCGCGGGCAAGGCAGTGGCCAAGCCTCCTGATGAGCTTGGTGCCCGCACTCACTGATTCAATTAGGCTAGATCCTCCACCCACCAGCCTCCTTGGTACAACTGGGTATGGTTGCATGTGCCCAGAACGACTGAATACTTACATCCATGCGGGTCATCCCATTCACTCCCACACCACAGCTAGTTCGATTGGCGCGTGAATTGCGCAGGCGCGAGTGCCGACAAGCTGTTGCGACCGCACGTAACGCATTGCGCAATGCTTCTGTGCTGTGCTGGCTGTGCCACTCCAGCCACTCGAAAGCTTCCAGGGCCGTGCGCTGGCATGTGAACCCGCTTACAAACAGAACAACCAAACATCACGATTGATCAAGCCTCTAGTTTCAAGCTCGTCCGTTATGTTCTTTGGCCGCTGCTGTTCGGAGGCCGCGGGGATCCATGGGTCCAGCGCAGCGTGCCGCAGCAAGTAACCAGAAATCAGCGCAGAACAAAACAAGGAATCGAGATAGTTTGCGACACGAACTTCAGTGGAGTTCATAGTTAGCCCTTGTCTCAAGTAACCAGAAATCAGCGCAGAACAAAACAAGGAATCGAGATAGTTTGCGACACGAACTTCAGTGGAGTTCATAGTTAGCCCTTGTCTCTATGGTGATGGTGATTGCGATGGTGGCGGTAGTGGTGACGGTGACGGCGATGGCGACGGCGGTGATGGTGATGGTGATGGTGATGGTGATGGTGATGATGATGATGATGACGATGACGATGACGATGATGCTGATGCTGATGCTGATGCTGATGCTGATGCTAATGATGATGATGATGATGATGATGCTGCTGCTATGATGATGATGATGATGATGATGATGATGATGATGATGATGATGGATGGCATCGACGGACGACGCCAGTCGACGGAGACCAGACGACAACGGACGACGGACGACGGACGACGAGAACGACGACGAAGACGAGGACGAGGACGACGACGAGGACGACGACGACCCTCGGCCGTGCCGTGCCCCCGTCGTGGACTACGGCGTCGGGGACTTGACGGACGGAAGGGGCCGTCCGCGCGCGGCTTCCGCCGCCTCCTCCTCCTCCTCCTCCTCCTCCTCCTCCTCCTCTGCCTCCTCCTCCCCCTCCTCTGCCTCCTCCTCCTCCTCCTCATTCTTTCGCTTGTCTCCTCCCTCCTCCTCCTCCTCCTCCTTCTGCTGCTGCTGCTCCTCCTCCCCCCCCTAAGGCGCCATCGGTGTTCAAAAAGAGGGCGCCCAGGGCATGGGGAGTACCAGTCCCAATCCTCGCGCCACGATGCATGTTCGCATGTTCTCGGTCGTCGTCGTCGCTGCTGTCGCGGAGGACGAGTGCCGTCGGCTCGGCGGGGC